GTGGCCCAGCAATCCCAGGAATCTATCCCAAAGATACAGCAAAAAGTACAGAATGCATAAAATTATAAAAGGACTATTTGTGAAAGCAAACATCTGGAAGAAACCTGCATGTCTATGAATATGGTCCTGGTGTAATGAATTATGGTATATCCTTCCAGTGGAGTACTATGCAGTTGTCAAAAGAAATGAGGAAGATGTATATATTCTGCTAGGGCATAATCTCCAGGTATGTTAGTATATTAAAAAAATTTTTAAAGGTGCAGAATAAATTTTCTAAAATAAACAATGGCAGGAAAGATAAAATACTAATAACATTATGTAGAAGAGGGAGAAATCAAAGGAAAGCAGACAGAAACTAGACCTCACTAACTGTATCTTATTTTGTACTTTGGAGCCATGTAAATGTTTTTAAAAAAAGTTTTTAAAATTTAAGTAAAAATGATTGAAACAATATCCAAAAATAAAGCTAAAACATAAGTTGTTAGCCAGTCCACACAGGAATGAATTATATCAGGTGACTGCATGTATTTTGATTTTTATATCCCTGCTGGATATATAATGAATCCTAAGTAGTCATATTGTTCATAATTCTGCTAGTATTGTTATTTTGAAACTCTTAAACAGAGACACAGTAGGATAAAGTAATTCTGTTAATGTCATCAGAAACCAATGTTTTCAGTATTTAAAAAAAGGTACAAGTATAAAATCAAAGAATTTAAATAAAAACTCTTCAGTCTTAAAATGTACATTGGCAATATCAGCACAGACTCGTTTTTCTCTAAGAAAATTCCAGTTTCCTAGGTCTGTCCACTGAAAAAGCTTAGAAGCAATAAATAACCATAGCACCCAGATTATGGGCTTTAATAAATACCATTTTCCACTAAAACAAGACAGGGCTCTTTGGATAAATACTTTACTCCAGTTCTAGGGTAGGAAAGTAGAAGATGGGCCTGCGAAGTCTTGTGCTAGAAAGCAAAAAAGCTATTGAAGAATACTGGAATTTGTCAAAAGTACATAGAATTGAACTGGAAGAAGCTCCCACTCGACATAAGTGGGGCAATTTAAACATCATCAAAATGAATGATGACTACAATGGATTGAAATGCAAAATATATAAAAATATATGAGTTCATAGAGATAGTGCAGAAAATATTGGTTATTTTTGGCAATTGCTAGAGCACCAACACATTGTTTTGAAAATTCAATAAAGGTTAGAAAATAATCAAGTGTTTTTTTTCTGCCTTTCTTGTACAAACTATTTCTGGGACAGTTCTGTGTTGAGGGAAGATTCCTCTTTTAACAGAATTCCAAATAATACATTTAGAAAGGAAATGATAAAATCAGAAAAATCATAATTTTGCATCCCCAAATGAATTAATGGGCCTAGACAGGAATTATTCGTGGCTGTTAAAATCATTAGATGAAAGGTTACTGGGGAAATCTGTAATAGATGGATAAGGCCTGAACCCACTGATCACTGTTAACATTACTAAAAGTGAAACAACTAGGCCTTATGCTGTGTATCTCCTCATATGGAATGAATACACAGAATAAGTAAATATGCTTGCAACAGACAAACCTCATTCTGAATCTAATCAAGGCTCTAGTTTACATGAATTAAAGGGGCTAGAGGAACATATTTTTTCTCTTTTTTTTTTTTTTTTGAGACAGAGTCACTCTGTTGCTTGGGCTAGAGTGCCATGGCGTCAGCCTAGTTCACAGCAACCTCAAACTCCTGGGCTCAAGCAATCCT